GCATCAACAGCACCACATTGAGTGAAATAACCAGTTGCTCTAAAGAAATGGCAAATCACTATTATTATTTACCAAGGAAAGAGTGGGGAGGGGCTCTTTTTAAAAAAAAACATTGTTTATTACATTTATAATCTAGCATTCTAAGGGTAGTTGCTACCCCCTTGAATTGCTAGCGAACCACAGGACTAAGACACACATCTCGCTGGTATTCCACTATTGTTATGCTGCATGCGCACAGACTCAAAATATATAGTTATAAAAGAGCTTTGATGGCCCCAAGAAGATTGAGGCGAATAAAGAGACGATAACAATGGCATCCACTGAAGAAGCTGGAAAAATCGCATTTCTCTATATGAGCCTCCGGGTGTCTTAAGATCAAGAGAGTCCTTTCTCAGAAGAATACCTGGTGATAACACGAGAGAGACGCTCCACGGTGGGTCTAAACCCCCTTTCAACTCCTTGATGTCCTTCTCATTGGAAAGCACTGCCGTGTTTCATTCAAACAGGCCTCTGGCCGTTGATCAGGACCTTTTAATTGTGGGCGTTACGTTGGCCGCTCCGGCTGCTGCTTTTAAATGCCGTAATCTGGTTTCAAATGCTTTTAAACTGTATTTACTATGCATTTAATCTTATTTTAACCTAGCAATTTATTTAATGCTATTTCAGTCTTGCAACTTCTTGGCGGAAATCCAGCAGTAAGCTACAACCCAAATAGCCCCCCCCCTTGAATCAGCGGAGGGATCTGATCAGCCAGCTCCTCTGCCTGTTCCACTGATACAAATAGGCTTCCTCTAGTTGCCAGTTACTTCTGGAACAGCACCGGGACTATCGGAGAGGAATCCAGACAGATGACACCATCACGCGGCTTTCCCACAAAATAGAAGCTAACGAGCCACAACGGTTCTGCAATAAATCCTTGTCAGGAAAGGGGTGCGGAAGACGTACTCTCGCCTCCGCAGTGAGGGTAGGAAAATGGCACTTCCAAGATGGCCCCCGTGAGGTAACCGTTGCTCATGGACATATTTGTGTCAAAAATAGCCAATTAAAAGTCTGCTGCCTATTTAAAACATTGGGAACTTTGTTAGCAAATGGAAAGAGCCTTAATTCAATTAATCTGATTACTCAACGGCACATGGATGCCTTAACGGAATAGAGACCGTGTGGGACCGTTTGTGCAACGACATGGACGACCATGTTTCTACTGTTTTCCCCGCCCCAACAAAGCTTCTCTTTCCCTCAGGCCGGGTGATCCCTGAAATGTATATACTCCTGTACGAGCCCAGAGTGCCAAACGGCTTCAAAACTGGAGGTGAGCAGATATTATGGTTTTGGACTGCAAGACCCCGAATTCCCCAGGCAGATCTGCCTTCTGGACAGTTCGGACTCCAGCTCCTGGAAGACCTACAGAGAAGGAAGAGGATGATGACAGACACAACGATTATGTGCCGCTAAGTCAATTTTGACTTATGATGACCTTTTTCAGGGTTTTCCAGGTAGAGAACCCTCAGAATTGGTTTTACCCTTCCCTTCCTCTAGGGGGTGCCCTGGGACTGTGCAGCTTGCCCAAGGCTACCCAGGCTGGCTGTTCCCCGAGGAGGAACAGTCAGGAATTGAACTCCTAATCACTGAGCTATCCAGCCAGCACAGACATCATCATCATCATGTGCTATCTAGTCAATTCTGATTTATGGTGGCCCCTTCTGGGGTTTTATAAGTAGAGAGTACTCAGAAGTTATTTCCCATTCCCTTCTTTTGGGGGTACTTCTGAGACTGCGCAGCTTGCCCAAGGCTACCCAGGCTGGCTCTACTCGCAGGAGTCCCAGTAGCGAACTCCCAACCTTCGGCTCTGCAGCCAGAGACCGAAACCACTCAGCTATCCACAACATGGCCAAGCCAGAGACCTAAACCACTCAGCTATCCACAACATGGCCTGTGGTAAATAAGGGATTCTTGGTGTTGTACAAGAAAGAACCCAAGTTCTCTCGCCTCCCCGTAATCTACAGCAGATCACCCAAAATATTTCACCATCATAATGGTGTAGTGTAGACACGCTCCTCTCTCTCTCTCAATATAAAAGGAAGCAGCACGAGTGGTTCCAAGTCTTTTTTTGAGCAGTGCCCCACGGCGTACAGTTTTGGAGGTAAAAAAGGAAAAGGAAGCCCCATTTATGAGATTTCTTTAATTCATATAAATGGACGTCCTTCAATGCGATTTAGCTGGGTTGTACAAAGCCCAGAAGCAAAAAATGGATGAGTTCGCCAGACGGACACAATAAATCAAAACAGCCTTCACTTAGGATAGGTGCCCAGAAGTGCCAGGAGTCCGACTTGTTTTCCCCGTGGTAGACAGAGGGTAATTGAATTCTACGTGGCGAGCCTGTTTGATGCTATGCAGAGAAGTCTCGGCTACCCAAGTTGAGAAGGCTCCTGCACGTGGGTGTCCCTATTAGCACAACAAAGACAACGGGCCCCCTTTCAAGCTGCTCATTATTTTCTACCTTTTCAGGGGAGGGGGGGAGGATCCGCTCGGTGCCATGCGACTCCATGCACCCTTCAAGGTGCAGGATTTCCTCTCTGGGGAGGCGGCAGGCTTTGAGCGCCGCTCGGCTGGCTCTTTGCCTTTGAGAGAAAAGCTTTCTCCCTTTCAAGCCGTAAAGCTCCTTTTCACCGTCCTGCGCCTCCCCCTCCTCAGCAGCATCGTTAGCAGTAGCACGATGGGGACTAATTCCCCAGGAAGACAGAGAGAAGAACGGGCAAGGGCTTCTCAGGGAAGTGGGGCCAGAGGACAGCGTTACACTGGTGATGGATCGCCAGGAGACCCGAAGGCCACCCAATGCAACCGCCATCCACTCCCGACACCCGCTGGAGGGCAACTCAGGAATTGCAGTCCTGAGGTGCCCCACGTGGGCATATGCCAGTCTGTCACTGCCTGGCACCCAAGGGGCATGGCCAGGCTCCTGGCCTCCGATCTACGCCAGGCTGTGGCCCGGCCCACTTTTGCGATAGCCGCAAGAGTATTAGTGGGGTTCCTTTTCATGTGCTATTTTAGGACACATCCTAAGAGCATTGACACCAACTTGTAAGTTAAACAGAATTTCCAACGTTGTGATGGATTTTGCATGTGTACAGGAATCCATGGGGGGGGGAGAGAGATCTCTGCACAAATTGTATCGGTTTGACAACACTTCCAACTGCCCCACGCTCTGTACCACTGAATCCTGGGATTTATAGTTCAGGGTGTGGGGGGAGACTCAGAATTCTCTTCTATAGTTTGAGAGGCAGCCCAGCTGCCCAGCACGAAATTCTGAGGGCCAAATGACAGACCTCAGGATTCGGCAGGATGGCGTCCTGACTGATAAGATGGTATCAGACCATGATCTGTGTAATGTAAGTTTGTCCTAAGAGCAGAGTTTGGAAATCACACCTCAGACTTAACATATTCATGTTCCTCTTGCTCAAATCTTTTGCTTCATCCTCAAAACATGTTAAACCCGCCCCCCCCAAAAAGGTCTGGCCCCTCCCCACACATTTGTCTAACTGAGACAAAGGAACGGATCTCCTTCACACACATTTACGTATTTCTGGACACAGAAGGATCTTGTTCTGTATGAAGGGGGTGGGGGTGGGGGGTGTTACTGAGATCCCCCATGGGCCCTCTGCCTCAGAGACCAAGATGGCTTGGGGTCAGGGAAGCAGAGAGGCCCCAGGCTCTACATCTGGATGGGTCGGTGGGACCCAGTCTTAAAGGAGGAGGAGGAGGAGGAAGAAGAAGATGGGGAGGATTCATCACTGTCAACAGCTTTGGCTGTTGACAGCCAAAGACCTCTGGGCTCAGAGAGGTCCTCCCTACACCCTATTAAAGCCCAGTCTAGCAGCAACAAGAGTCTGGAGCTCATGGAGGCTATGATTGAGGAGGTCCTCCTGACCACCCTCACTCTGGGTGGGGCGCGCCATGTTCACACTTTGCCATTGGCGACAGGACAGTTTCCCCCACCGTGCCCTAGAGGACAGCGTTCTGTTCTCCAAAATCTCCCCGTCCCTCCAGCCTCTGCTTCCTAAGGAGACGTCTTTACTCTGGCTAATGGTAGGGCTGGTGGTGGTCAGATGGGCTTCTTCAGAGCTACACTTGCAGCCCCACCTGTGTTCAGCCGCTGGAACAATAAGCCCCATTCACAATCAATGGGTGATGGTCTAGCCTTGATGGAGGGCCAAGTAGCCTCTCCTCCATCATCCTGCTTGAAGCAGCTCCGTTTTCCCACCTGGCCTGACTGGAGGCACAGTTGATAAAATGCACGTGCTCTGTGTTGCACCTAAGAGACGATCTGAGATGCACAAACGGAGCCGTGGCTAAAAGGAGGGGCACCGGGGTCCTTGATTCAGAGGGCTGGAATGCAAAGAGTGCAAAAATCTGCTGCAAGAGGGACACAAAGCCTTTAGTTCCATGGTTCCCAACCTTGGGCAACCCCGGTGTTCTTGCACTACAGCTTCCGTGGGAGTTGCAGTCCAAGAACACCCAGTTTGCCTAAGGTTGGGTGCCACTGAACCAGTTGGTATTTTTTCCAATGGAAGGATGGAAACCTATTTTCCCAAGGATATATATCACCTCTAGTCTCTCCTTCCTGAGTGGCAGGAAACCTAAAACAGGCAAGCTCCATGCAGGGCCTCTATGACCATTGCACACACATACCTCGGGGCCCTTTTCTATTCCATGGACCTCATGCGGCTCAAGCTTAAACAATAGACCAGGGAAACACCGGAATGGCTAGTTATGCCTCTGTGCATGGAATCATGTGGATGCGGGGATTTTTGAATTACAGCCATCTGCAAAGCCAGTGAGGTCTGTGGGCTGCTGGGCTTCAGACCTGCTTGCTCACCCAAAGCTTTAGCTTTTATGAGTTAAATGGTCCAGCTAGACTGGAGAAAACCAGCTGGATCCTGAGCCAAGCAAGAGGAGGTCCCACAATTCCTCGCCATGACGTGATGCTCCATGCAGAGACTTACCCGGCTTGGAAGACCGTCTTGGGCAAGCGTCTGCTGCAGGGCTCCAGGGGCGACCTCCTCGAGGTGCAGGACACGGCAGAGCTCCGTCAGCTCCTCCTGGCCCAGGGAGCCCGCGCCGGTAACGTCAAAGCTGTCAAACAGCTCCTTGAGATGGGCTTCGTACTGGTCCTGCTCAGCTTCGTCCATCCCATAGCCCACCACGCTCAACTGGAAAGCAAAGCACAGAAAAAGAAAAATTATAACCCCTTGCTTGAATTCCAGAGAACGGCCATTCACGTATCGAAGCAACAGCAGGAAAAAAGGCTGGCGGGAAGGTAACACCGAACTATGGTTTGCGCTAACTGTAGCTTAAGTTTCAGCAATGATAGATATAGTTCCACTGTACGTGTAAACCATGTTTTCTTTCCGGCCTCCCTGCCCACCCGAATTCTTCCCCACTATGGCCTCTCAGGGTGAACAACTTCTAGAACCATGATACTGCAATTTTGGAGGCAACACTAAACCACAACCTGCCCAAATCATGGCTTGTACTAGGCGTCTGTGGTTTCAGATTCTAGTTTGTCGGTCACTCCCAAACTATGGTTTGTCAGGATGACGTTGGCTCATGTAAGATGACAAACCAGGGTTTGCCCTGACAAGACACAGGTTGACATTTCGTCTCTTCCCCAAAACCTTCCGGGCTTAATGGACACTTCTGTTTGTTAACCACGTGAACAGGTTTGGAGGTCGCTTCCACGCTGCACTTAGTTTGTCCACAAACAGAACTTTTAAAGAAAGGCATCCCTTCAGCTAGCCAAACATTTGCCCTTTTTACAGAGCATGAATATGAGTTTTCATTGGAAGCTTTGATTAGGTGAAGTGTTTTCGCATGAAAAGAAAACCCTGTTCTCCTTGCGGACTCTCCCGTGAGCCCCTTCCGTCACATTTTGCAGCGTGTAAAGGTATTCATTTGTTTCCCTGTGAAGAACTTGACAATTTGCCCCGTAAGAGTTCTTTGCTGGCTTGCCAGGTTGCTATTTTTTTTTCCTGCCCTACTGATTAGCATCTGACGATTTAGACCCATGACACTCTAACCTAGAGGTCTGCTCCTCATTAGCCTCTGGTTCCCCTGATGCACAGCAGAAAGTTGGCAAGTATTTTTTAAATATTTGCAGACAGATAGTAAAAGCAAACATATCTCGGGAGCCAGTCCCCGTTTTAATTGCCTTGCAGCCAGTGCAGCAGCCCCCTACCTCCCCACCCCCCAACCGCCAAGCTTATCTGAATTGCAGAAAAGCCAGCTTTCCTCTTAGGAGGTCAATGCTATCACGCAGTTCAGCTCCCGCAAAATTTATCTCCCTTGCCAAAAGCAAAACCTGACATGCCTTCTGTGCAGAAATAAAATCTCGGTAGCTTCCAGATCAAAGGTAAACACCCAGAGAGTCGATAAGACCCCATCCAGTAAGAAACCGTCTTATCTCCCCTTCTCCTCTCCGTCCAACCTTTCCATTCTGTACACGTCTCTCTACTGCTCCCCTCCTTGTTGCCTTTATAGAAACTAAGTGTTAAAATAATGGTGCTGAGATGCTCCGGAAGCCATGCTTTGCTTTAGACTCCATCCTCAGCCAAGGATGCCATGACCCTATGGACGCATGATCTGATGGGCATGCAGAAGCAGCACGCTTTGCATGAAAAAGAATACCCAGTGTTCAGGCAACGATGGTAGCAAGGCATGACGTTATGAAGGGCCGCCAGTCCAGAAACGGCATTGGAACACCATGCATCAACAGCTTTTTTTTTGGTCAGGTTTCCCCAGTATCTTAACACAAGATCTTGGTTGGCCCGGGAGGCTTCAGAATGCAACTGCTTAGGGACAGATGGTTTTTTCCAGTAGTGATGTATGGAAGTGAGAGCTGGACCATAAAGAAGGCTGACTGCCGAAGAATGGATGCTTTTGAATGGTGGTGCTGGACTGCAAGGAGAACAAAACTATCAATTCTGAAGGAGATCAACCCTGGGTGCTCACTGGAAGGACATATCCTGAAGCGGAGGCTCCAGTACTTTGGCCATCTCATGAGAAGAAAAGACTCCCTGGAAAAGACCCTGATGTTGGGAAAGTGTGAAGGCAAGAGGAGAAGGGGACGACAGAGGACAAGATGGTTGGACAGGGTCATTGAAGCGACCACCATGACTTTGACCCAACTCTGGGAGGCAGTGGAAGACAGGAGGGCCTGGCATGCTCTGGTCCATGGGGTCACGAAGGGTCGTACACAGCTAAACGACTAAACAACAGCAGCAAAGGGACAGACAAACCAAATTGCAGTTTTAACAGGCTGCCCTCCATCAATCATGGAAGCTGAGCTGTCACCAAGTCCGCACAGTAGCTTATCCAGCTGTTCCAAATAACATCTGGAATTGGCCAGTGTCAATGACTGGTGAGGAAAAGGGCATCGTCACTCAAAACGGCAAAGCCAGAAGGGACCCTCTGGATCATACCCTTCTCAAGGAGGCCCCAGTGCGGAATCGAACTCCCAACCTCTGGTTCCACAGCCAGAGACCTCAGCCCCTGAGACACGTTGACCTCTAGTGTATTTTCCACTTTTCCCAAAGTAAAAAAAGATGCATAACTTCTTCGTGGTACACTGTTAACTCTTGAAGAACCCAAAGAACACGTGTTCCAACATGGTGGAGTGATACAGATGTGACTCCGGAGCAGATTTGCTTGGAAAGGACACCTTGGATAGAATCTCGTTAACTATTCACATGGGCTGACCTCCATTGTCATCAATGTCAGAGGTGAATAGCTGCCGGTCAAGAGGTTGGTGCTGTGGTTGCACACTGGGTCCTATGAGTGCTGCATGATGGGGGGGAGGAGGGAACAAAACCCAACACCCAGCACTGGTTCCTTAACTGGTGCCAATCCACCGCTGAAATCTATGCTGATGGGAACTATGTAGGCAGGCACAGAATCATGGAGCATGAAGGGGGCCTCTAAGGCCATCAAGTCCAACCCCTTGCTCGAGGCAGGAATACAAATCAAAGGAGATCTGCCAGGGGGGTTGTCTAAGTTTCTCTTCAAGGCCTCCAGTGTTGGAGCGCTTGCCACCTCCCTCCAAGGTCATTGGTTCCGTTGTTGTACTAGTCTAACAGTTAGGAAGTTTTTCCTGAGATTCCGCCGAAACCTGGCTTCCTGTAACTTGAGCCCATGGTTGCGTGTCCTGCACTCTGGGATGATCAAGAACAGATCTTGCCCCTCCTCTAGATGACAGCCTTTCAAGTCTTTGAAAAGTGCTATCCGACCACCCCTCAGTCTTCTTTTCTCAAGGCTAAACATGGCCAGTTCTTTCAGCCTTTCCTCCCAAGGCTTGGTTTCCAGTCCCCTGATCATCATCCTTGTTGCCCTCCTCTGAACTTGTTCCATTTTATCAGCATCCTTCTTGAAGTGTGGTGTCCAGAACTGGACACAGGACTCAAGGTGAGGCCTACCCAATACTGAATAGAACTAGCACCTCATGGGATTTGGAAACTATACTTCCAACGTTCCAGCTATTAGGTCATTCATCATTGTGGTTGTTTAATAACGAGAGGCAACAATTTTACATATGGATTTTCAATTAATAAGCTCCATCATTCTTAATTATGTCAAGTTGGTTCCATCTTCTGGTGACCCTAATAGGGTTTTTGAGGCATATGAGACCTTTAGGCAGGCCGAGAGAGATTTTTTCAAATAGATTGTTCTGCTCTGTTGTTTTTTAAAATGTTTTTTTATTGATTTTATTCACTGTTTTTAATATAATACTTGTTTAATTCTTTTTTAATATTTGTATACTTACTGGGTTTTGTTTTGTTTTTGCTTTAAATATTGTCGTTTTAATGATGTGAGCCGCCTTGAGTCCTTTTAAGTAGAATGACAGGGTAAAGATATTTTAAGTTAAATAATAAAATAAATGCTAAATTCAGGAAGCCGTTCACCAGTGCCAGTTCCCAGTGGGCTCCGAGGGGCAAGCAGGGATTTGAACTCCGCTCTCCCGAGCCTCATTCGATCCACTGTAAGGCACTGATTTTCTATGATTAATCTGATGCCGTGATCCCCTTAGGAACTCAGCCCTCGCATCCTGAGGTAAACAACCCTTTTGCTTACTCTTGGGATCCATCCCTCCAGCTGCACTGAAAACGAGTGGCCGGGAGGCGGAGGGAAAGAACCAGCTCCCTGCCTGCCACGGATTCCCTGGGAGCCTGAGGTAATGTTTTCCAAAATGGCAGGAAGAAGAAAAACAAGCTTCTAGGAACAAACAGCCCTGACTGGAGAGCCGCAGTTCCAGAAATGGATTTCTGGTTCCATACGGAGCAGCAAACCTCATGGCTGCTCTCTTTCTGTGACCTCTGTGGGAGCATCCATCACAAGGAGGTTACGAGAGGATGAGGGACCTACCGCCGGAGGCATCCGCACTCGCATCATGGAGGCGTCAAATCAGCTCCGGAGCTGAGTCCGAGCTTTACAAGAGCTGCCCAGAGCACTGAGCACCCTAACCTCAAAATAAATTTGGCCCCGGGGACAATTCTTTTCAAATCCGGAGCAAAAGTCGGAGCTGGTCCAGAATGTCAGAGGCACCTGTGTGCGTAGCTACCTACAGGTGGCTGTTATTCGGATTTTTTAAAAAAAACCACAAGCCAGTTCCTGCATCCTTACTGGGCAGGATATGTGGACTTGGGTCCTTTTGGGGAGAAAGGCAGGATAAAAAAATATTGTAAATAAATAAATATTTTTCAAAACGCAAAATGGTGGGAGCCTGTTCTCCCGGTCACATTGCTTGTGTGAACATGTTCCGCGGACTCTCATTGGACCTCAACCAATTGGATGTTAGATCAGACTTGGGCTTGGTTTCCGAAGCTGCCCCTTGCTCGCCCGCCCCTCCCAAACCAGGGGCTTTCAGGGCCCTTCCTTCAGAGCACAAGGCACTCAACATCACTCTTGTTCACACAACGTTCCACCACCAGCCTTCGGTAGACAAGATGAGATGGGGGAACGGGATCGGCCACCCTGTTCCTTCAACTCAGGTAGCAAAATGTCTTCGCTTGTACCCTGGGTACAACATTTAGGACTTTTTGAGCTTAGAAAGATGGTGAGACCCAGGGGATGAAGAGGGGGGAAACAGATCAGAGGTGAACACACCTGGCTGACAAGGAACCACACCAACAGCTGAAGGCACCTGGGGTTTCTCCAA